CATCACAACACTGTCGAAAGACACACAGATTGGGCTCATGAAGAAGGGCTCCGTCTGGCTGTACACTCTCCTGACGACTCTCCAGGTCGTAAAAGACAAACAAGAGATCATTAGTACGAGGTACCCCTGTGTCGGGCTGAATGAAACATAGATGACCGGCTGGGCAATGTTTGTTGCAAATTTTGCAAAAAATCTCTCCACAGGTGTGTGATCTATTGGTTGGCACAATTTTGAAACATTCTTCACAACGCATTATCGTACTACAAATTTCGTTGCGAACATGATTATCGAAGCATACCGGTCCACGGAAAGATCTTTTGCAAGATTCGCATCGAATTTTCACCTCATCAGGAGAACAGGCCGGGGATTCTTGACATGAAAAACAAGAACCACCACAACGATGTTTGCTCTTTTGGTTGTAGGGAACATGACACTCCTCACAATAATAACCGCAGCAAAATGCAGCAGTAAGTGAGTTAATTACATTATAATGTCCATCATGATGCAGTAAATTGAGCGATAGACCAGCATCGCTGCCTTTGAAAATAATGTTACGGCCCTTGTTCCCGTATTGGTATACAGTTATTTTGTACGAGGAGAGATAGCTTTGAAATTGTTGTAGCTCTGGTATACCACAGCCCTCACCAGCAGGCACAGAGACCCCAGCATCAGCCAATAACTGTAAAGTGCGTTGACTTTGCAGTTTTCTATAGTCTTTGCGCACATCGTTGCGCTTGGGATCTTTGTCGGCGTATGCCATAGCCACAACAAGCGCTCGAGGAAGACATAAATTGTCTTTATTATTGATAGTTATAATGCCTCGGCGGTTGCTACACTCCTCGTTAAAAGAATTGTGAACGCTGTTTCTATTATTACCTTTTCCGGAGGGCATTCGAACAGATGTTACACCGAGACAGAATGTTTCGGTGTTTAAGCCGCACGAGTTTGACTGATAGATGGACGATATCCTATCAAAAATATCGTCCATCGATACGTCAGAGGCTTTTTTGAATGCCATCCAACCCTGACCCCTCGCGAAATCTTTCGAGCAGAAGGTGAAACCAACGTAATCGGATGATTCCAACCCGTCGGTTCCTTTCTGCACAATCTGAGTGATTGCATCCTTCACCCAACTCACAGGTTCGACGTTCGAAGGTATAGGTTTGATATTAAACTCTAAAGTACGCCCCTGCACCCCGAAACGACGAGCTTTCTTGACAATGTCCTTCACGATTAGAAATTTCTCCATATTCACCTCAAAACACAAATATGTTCAAAAAATCAAAGAAATCAAAGATTTCAAACGCACAACCGTAACAAAGAATGCTTGAACAAACTATAAGCTAAACATCCCACGAGACTGGTATATATAGACGAAATTAAAAGGGGTTGTGAGCGAGATGTAATTAAATAAACGCCCACGAAACAAATGACAAGATCAAAACAAACTCGCCTACAATACTCACCTAGCTCTAATCGTCAGCAATACAAACAGATAAAGAGAACGATTGCTGGAGCGTTCCCAATATTTATAGTCCCCCGCGAAACCGCAGGAATGATAGCGATTTTCATTAAATAATGTCTGTTCTCAAAGGCCCCATCCTCTGTAGAATTTTCACGTATTTTCCATAAGTACTCATGTTATTTTCTGAATTTCCTATATCGGTCTTGAAATACACAAATTGTGAAAACAAGCACACTTTTCGCCGAGCTCGCTATCGTTTGTTATCGTTTTGAAAACCGCAATTTCAAACCGCAGCTGCTAAATAGAACGCAATATTTTCTGCCAGAGAATACATACACACAACTATTTGTTATCGTTTTACCTCAGAATACAGAATACAATCTGTAACTTTTTTTCATCATTCTGATATTACCAGGTTTCCATACCATTAAATAAAAACCTTCAAGAAATAATAATTTATTCATAAATAGATACACTATTTGTTAATATCCTCTTCAATTGGGATAATAATTCTGTCTTAGTGTAGGGTATTCCAAAAACAGTCCAGTTAAATTCTCCAGCCTCCAAAACCTTCCTTGTATACTCGCTGTACTTGTAATATGTGTTTTTGGTGAAAAAGTATATGTTTCTGTCTGTATATCGAAACATCGATATTATTCCCGATGGGATCCCTGGAAAAGCATAATTGAGAGGCCCACGACTGATTGTATTTCCAATTTCATCGAACTCAATGTAGGAATCGTTATTGTATAGTAAATAAGACTGACCACTGTTAGTTTGAAACACAGCGTTTATCTGTGCATTGGTGGAGAGAGAAAATATTATTTTGTGGCGAATTTGTAAATTTGGAAAGTCTACAGCGTAATATGTTTTATTTACGAATTTGGGCAGTTTATTGGTGATATGACCGACGAATTAGAATGTTACGGCCCTGGTTCCTATATTTCAGAGTTTGTATCTGGTGGACCGAAGAATTACGCATACAAGCTTTGGTCCACCAAAGACCGTGACTTCAAAATTGTATGCAAGGTTAAAGGTCTATCTCTAAATTATGCCGCGTCCCAAGTGATTAATTTTGAATCTATCAAAACTATGATCTTGAACCCTGGCCCGCCGCTCAACATCTTGAGCAATCAGATTCGACGTACGAAGGAGCATAAGGTCATTACGACCGATCTTGTGAAAAAGTACGAACCTGTATGCCTCAAACGACAGTTCCATCCTGACAACACCTCCACACCGTATGGCTTCAAGAAATCAAAAACTCAAAACGACACAACATTGAACGTTTGAACACAAATCAGCTGTTTTCACGGCTAAAATGAATAATCCATTATCGTCCAAGCGGCTAAGATTTGATTAAATATTTTCGATAAAAAGATCCCAACTTCCGGTTTATTATCATTATAATCAGCATATAAGTGAACAAACAAACTGCTCTGATGATAGCTTCAACAGGCGTTTGTTCCAAGAAAAAAAGAGGCAATATCTGACGAATTAATGAAGTGTTTCTATTGATTTAGAAATCGATCTTCGTGCTGTCAGAAGTAGAACAAACAAAAACTGCTCTGATTTTATATTTCAACAGTCACCTGTTCTACTGAAAAAAAAAAACAATGGGCATTATCTGGCAAATTAATGAAGTGTTTCTATTGATTTAGAAATCAATCTTCGCGCTGTCAGAAGTAGAACTAACAAAAACTGCTCTGAGTATATCAACAGTCACCTGTTCTACATCGAAATTATTTAGTGAAATTTTTAGAGCTTGGACCTATACTATGACTCTGTTTACCTTTCAATCCTTTCCTCTACCCTCTTACCCCTCCCAACATCCCTCCCGCCTGTCCCTATTATTAACAGCTGTTCATTTCATCATTGGGGCACAAAATAATCAAGCGTCTCTATCGATTTTAGCCTCATCTGTGAAAAGGTTTAAAATTAAAAACTGTCACATTACGTAATGTGTCACACACCTGTGTTGATTTGAATAGTTGTTAATAATTTTCCCTGTGGCATACGTGTGTTTACCTCCTCGTGGTGTATGCTGGGCAATAATTTAAAATTATTGGCAAACAAACACACCCCCCTCCATTTTTCACCCAACAATCTTTGTCAATTCCCTTCAATTCTAATGCCAAACATCTATTTTCTGTGTATATTATTCGAAGAAATGTCAAAATCTATTGTATCCCACGTACATGCGATAATTTTGAAACTGGGGTGACGAACTGAAAATGTCAATGTTATACAGGGTGGCTCGAAAAGAAATTCCTTTTTTCAGTGGGGCACCATATGTATAATATTCCTAAGTGTTGATTATCCCTGCCAAATATTAACATGTCAACATGACATAGAGGTCTTGATCATTCAGTGGCACTATATTATTATATATTGCTGTACGAATTAAAACATACCATAGAAAGAATAAATAAATTTGCTATACCGAATGTCTGAAATGGAACATAACCTCAAAGAGCTTTGTCTAGTATTGATGTATGATAGCGTTTTTTTTGGTCATCTGTCAAATGTAATACGTCAGCTGTCTAATCCCGCAAAAGTGGGTGAGGCGTCCAGTATATTTTTTCTTTGATTGCTATCCAACTCAAACGCCCTGTATATATCATGTTATAGCGGGTAGCCTTTATATGTAGGTCGGAGAGGTATAACGCCTTTTGAGTTCACCCTATATTTTTTTCCCAACTATTACCCAACTCAAGTACCCTGTATATAGCCGTTGACGCCCTGTATATATCATGTTATAGCGGGTAGCCTTTTATATGTAGGTCGGAGAGGTATAACGCCTTTTTTGGGTTCACCCTATATTTTTTTTTCCCAACTATTACCCAACTCAAACACCCTGTATATAACCGTTGTTGAAAAATGGAATAAAATGCGCGCCGTTATCTCTAGAACGGATCTATCGCAGTCCAACCGATGATGACGACCCGTTCGCTAGGCCGCGAGTAGCTAGCCGAGTCAGGCCGGCCTGTGATTGGTCGGCCGAGTCACGTGGTTTGGAGAAAAGTGGAGGGGAGGGGCTGGACTGGAGACCGGGACTACCTACTAAAATAGGAAGTTCAACTCACAATAATTGAATTGTAAATTGATAATTGTCAATTGATAATTGTGACTTGATAATTGTTAACTGATGCTGCATAAATCCACACGTAGCTTCTCACCCAGCAAACAATTTAGGTAGTTATTACGTCGCCCCAAAACCCGGAAGTTGCCGACACGGCAAGAGAGTGGCAAACGACGTCGGTCCGACGTCAATAGGTCACAGTGGCCGACGGTCGGACCGATGCCTGTATGCCATCACACCTAGAATGAAAAAAAGAAGTGACCGGTCCTCGCGTTTAAACCTGCAACCTTTGAATTACGAAGCCAAGATCTTACCAACTGAGCCATTTTATTTCCTGTTGAGGTTTGAGTACTATATCAATGAATCAAAATAAAAAATCTAAAGGTAATTTTTGCAAGAATCAATATGATAATCCTCTTCTTGGTGTCACATTCGATAAACTCTCTGCAACAGCTACCTCGTCAACCGAGAAGGACCGGCTCAATGCAGTGAGTGTCAAAGAATCAGGTGCATGGTTGAACGCCTTACCTGTTGCTGCTCTACGAACTCCTCTAGATGATGATTCGTTTAGAGTTGCAATTGGATTGAGATTAGGTCTGGATATTTGCACTCCTCATGAATATATTTGTGGGAGTGGAGTGGATGAAAAGGAAACACATGGTTTGAGTTGCAGAAAAAGTTCAGGTCGACACTCAAGACATCATCAAGTGAACGATATCATTAAACGTGCATTAATATCAGCAGATGTCTCGGCTATTTTGGAACCTCTTGGGACTAGTCCTGATGATGAAAAACGTCCTGATGGCATGTCACTTATTCCTTCGTCATGTGGGAAAGCTATAGTATGGGATTTCACCTGTGCTGATACTTTGGCAGCTTCCCATTTAGCAGCAACATCGCAAAGTCCGGGTGCTGCTGCTATCAAAAGCGAGAAACTGAAACGCCTCAAATACTAAAATCTTGGAAATAATTACCTGTTCTATCCAGTTGCATTAGAAACTTTCGAAGTGTTTGGCCCTGAGTCTGATTTTTATAAATGAAATTGGAATGAGATTATGTCGAACTACATTGGAAAAACGGTCGACTTCTTTCTTGATACAGAGAATAAGCATAGCGGTAAAACGAGGTAATTCGGATTCGGTTCTTGGAACCATACCACCCTCTCATTCTCTTGATGAGATATTTCTCTAATCATCTCACAGATCGAATAACTTTCGCAAGCCATCCCTATGGAAGTTATTGCCATGAACATCAGAAATATGATTATGTTTCAGATACTACGAAAACATTTCATCTCTGACGCTGATAGATCTAGATTTTGATATTGGCGAAAGAAACGAGTGTAGTGTGTCTTTTTCGGATGCTGACTGTGAACAGACTTCGACGTGCGAATCTTTTACCAATGATGCCAGCATCCCGTTGTCACCGTACAACTTCCCTATCAAGAAAAATGGTTTGAGGAACTTGGGAATACATGTTATTTGAATAGCGTTCTTCAAGCTTATTTCAAGACGAAATCTTTCCGGAATGAAGTAATTTTATACAACAAAGACTTTTCTGAACTATTTCTCTAGATACAAGAACTCTTCGTTTTGTTGCAATTCTCAAAGAGGGTTTCACTTCCTCCTTTAGAAATTTCAGAATTGTCAAGAGCCCCTGGTTTCTTGATAAGTCATCAGCATGACAGCTCTGAGTTTTTGGGCTTCTTACTCAACAAACTACAAGATCAAGAGAATACCTTCAACTTTTCTTGTAATTTCTCTGAAGATAAAGGAGAAGCTGTCCCAACGCTAGTGCAAACTTTTTTCAGCAGCAAGATTTTGACTGTTTCACGATGTTTGGTTTGTGGAACAGAGAACGATCGTGTCGATCTATATAGGGAGCTGCAACTGCCCTTCCCCAACACCAACTACTCTGAGAACCAGAACGTGCAGTCGCTGCTGGACTACTACTTTGAGCCGGAGAAATTGACAGAAGATAACCAATGCTACTGCGAGATATGCAATCGATTGACCGTCAGAGAACACATAACCAAGATCATGGAGGCGCCGCCACGATTGATTTCAACTCTGAAGCTCTTCCGGTACGATCCTTCCTCGCACCAGAGTATCAAGATGCAACATTCCGTATGTCTTGACGAGCATCTTATTATCGACAGCTGAACTTACCAGCTTTACGCGGTTGTAATCCACTGCGGCTCAAGGGTCGATAGCGGTCACTATTACACCATGTCCAAAGACAAGAATGACTGGTACCAGTTCAATGGTGGCTCCGTATCAAGGAATTCGTCTGAGAAGCTATCCCGACTAAGATCCCTCGAAACGCCATACATCCTGTTTTATAGCCGTGATGATGAATCAAAGTGGGAGAGCCTTTCTCCTACCTCCCTCCCTCTTAGCATACAGATGATTTTGGATCTGGACCATCTTGAATTTAACGAGTTCCAGCAATAACGGCAGCATTTCATTTTTATCATGATATCATTATAAAAGTGTAGTGTCAGTTTAATGAGTAGGAGGCAATATTGCGCGGAACTGAGCGGGAGCGATTCAGTAGAATGCGTACACATGTGAGGCTATAGGATATTGTTATATCAAGGCATTGAATAAATAGACAACCGAATATTACGTAGTGTTTATTATCCCTTCAGGGATTAATGATCCAAGCAGGACAAGACACTACATGGTGACAGTGCGGAAAATAGAGAGGTGTACACACCAACAAAACCTATGTCTGCGACTTCCACGAGTGTAGACTGTCTCGTAGTCTGTTCGATATGCCCGACTCCGTGAACCAGGATGAAGAAGTGCAAGCAAGTACATTGTTTATGTTTCAGGCAAATCTCCAACCACCATCGGAATTTAAATGGAAAACACGATGGGAACGTTATTTTCTAGGCAGCGGTCTCAATAGCCAAAGTGATGAGTTCAAGCTGAATTCTTTCATATAAACGATGGGGGAGATCTCGGTTGACGGAAAAAGAACAAACGTATGAAAACGCGCTGAATAAATTCGACGAGCATTTCGGAGTTCGCGTCAAAACAGTGCTAGAGCGGCAGCGATTTTTCGGTCGCAGGCAAGGCACGAATGAATCCGCGAGAGATTTCATCGCCGATTCACATCGTCTCGCGGAAAGCTGCAAGCTAGGGGACATGAAAGAGGAGTTCATTCGTGATTTGTTGATTCTAGGAGTGCGGAATCGCAAGGTGTCCGATCCCTTGACTCTAGATAGTGACATGACTCTTCAAAAAGCGACAAGCAAAATTCGACAAAAAGAAGAGTTGATTCGACAACACCAGCATACACGTGGAATCCAAAATGGCTGCACAGAGATTAGTTATGTGCGAGCCAGAACCGGAAAACAACAGCGCCAGCAGAGTCGTCCGGCACGTGTCAACGGGAAACATAACCTCAAAGATACTGTCACGTCAACTGCAAAGGCGGGAAAAACGTGCAGTAAGTCGGGAAAACTCCTCAACACGCATTTAGCGAGTGTCCTGCGAAGGGAGCAAAGTGTGAAAAGTGTAACGGTAGCAGCCACTTGGCCAGTGTGTGCACAGCCAAAACCGTGAGAAGAATCAGCAAGCACGAAGACGACGACGACGACGGGGATGAGATGTTTATTGGGGAGGTTCAGCTCGACACAGATGACATGAGTGAGTACACTAAGTGCGATAAAATGAGTTCCATCGCCAGAGTGCCTTGGGTTACTACAGTAGAAGTAGAAAAACTTTCGAGTCGGAGTGGCGCTAACGAGTCTTTGATCAGCCAGAAGACATACCAGGGGCACTGTAAGGACATCAAGCTGCAGGCAAAGGGACACCACCTGCAGGGGACCTTGTCGCCTCCTGCTGTCTGTCATCGGCGTCATGACGGTGACCATTAATTGGCTGGCACGACCGTGCAGCTGTCGCCGACATCTACGTCATCGAGGGAAATGCGAGCAACCTTCTGGGCCGTCCCGCCATCGAGGACCTGGCCATGCCGAAGAGGGACATCGATGCAGTCGTGGCGACAGCCACAAAAGATGCCACCGAGGATAGCAAAACTAACGAGTGGGCGGCAGCCTTTCCCAAGGCCTTCAAGGGTTTGTGGTGCCTGAACCTTCAACGTCCATACGTCATCGTTCTCAAGCAGGGATCGAGGCATCATGCTGTCACAGCACCGCGCCGAGTCTCGGTGCAACTACGTGAGCAGGTTCGTGATGATTTAGGCAGGATGGTGAAGATGAAAGTAATTTCACCAGTCGATGAAGCTACGGAATGATGTGCGCCAATGGTAGTCGTCATGAAGTCCAATGGAGGTGTACGCATCTGCGTAGACTACACGTAGCTCAACCGAAGTGTGGACGAGGAGTCGAAGAAGCTTGCCACCTTCATCACACCGTATGGAAGATACAAGTAAAACCGCCTTCCAATGGGACTGACTTCGGCAGGAGAGCACTTCCAGGAAAGAATCGGCGAAGTTCTAGTGGAACTAGAAGGTGTCACGCATCTGGCAGATGACATACTGATCCATGGGTGCACCAAGGAACAGCACGACGCCCGTCTTCGAGCCACCTTGACGAGACTGCAAAAACACTGCGTCACACTCAACAGTAAAAAATGCGAGTTTGCAACGGAATCTGTCAAGTTTCTAGGTTACATCATCGACGCCAAGCGTGGAATCCTGCCGGATCCAGCAAAGGCCGAAGCCCATCGTCAACATGCCGAGGTCGGCATGTGCAGCAGACGTCAGTCGCTTCCTAGGAATGGTAAATCACCAGCTAAAGTTCATGGAACACCTCTCGACAATGACACAACCACTGCGCGAGCTGCCACGTGGCGACACGGAGTTCGTATGGACAGAGGTTCACGAGACAGCTTCTGCCGACATCAAAGCAAAATTGATTTTTGCTCCAGCGCTGTCCTTCTTCAACCCGAAAAAACATACCAGCGTATCAGCGAATTCGTCGAGCTATGGCTTGGGAGCCGTATTGGATCAGCTGCACTTAGCCTGAGATCACAAGGACGTGCGTGATATATCAGAGCGTGTGGAGGCCAGTGTACTACGCCTCTCGCGCACTCACAGACACCGAGCGTCGATACGCTCAGATCTAGAAGGAAGCTCTCGCTTTGACATGGGTCTGCGAGAAGTTTGAGCTGTTTATCACGGAAGCACCAGACCTGTTGCTACGTATGGGCCAGAAGTCACTCAGTGAGCTAACACCACGCCTGCAACGTTTGCGGATGTGTCTGATGAGATTCTTCTACACCATTGAGCATGTTGCAGGCAAGTCACTCATGTCACCAGACACTCTCTCTAGGGCTCCGATGTCGACGACAGCGTTCTATGCTAGAACTGTCATCGCAGACATGCCGGTGGCCGACCCTATCCTCAGGAGAGTCAGAGAAGTCCAAGAGAGCGACGTTCAAACACAACTCATACTGCAGCACGTCCGAGAAGGATGGCCGCATCCCCGAGACGTCGAGGCCATCCTGGTACCATTCTTCAGGAAGCGGGCCAACTTGTCAGTAGTCGAATACCTTCTAGTGTATGGTTCATGAATCTACATCCCTAGGAAGGTTCGAGACGACATGCTGGCACGGCTGCATAGAGGTCACCTAGGGGAGTACAAATGATTGGGACACGCGTGCACCAGCGTGTGGTGCACAGGCATGGTGGTGTACGTCGCATTTGTGCAGAGTGCGAAATCTGCTTACAGCACCGTCCACAGCCTGCGGAGCCGCTGATTTTGTCGAAGATGCCCAACCGACCATGGCAGCGAGTGGCAGCAGAGCTGTGCCCAACGTGGCAACCAACACTACCTGGTGGTGGTGGACTACTATTCACGCTACCCAGAGGTAACGAAATTGGGATCGCTTTCGGCAGAAGGCACTATCAACAAGCTACGCGATATCTTCGCAAGACATGGACTTCCTGAGGAACTGCGAGCCGACAACGGACCACAGTTCAACAGCGGAGCAACAAGAGATTTTGCTGAAGAAATGGGATTTCGTCTGACCACCATGAGCCCGCATCATTCGCAGAGCAATGGTCAGGCGGAGGCCGCTGTGAAGGTAATCAAAAATATAATCAAGAATGATTCAGATCCTTTCCAGGGGCTTCTGGAGTACCGCACAGCACCGCTAGAATCAGGGTTCAGTCCTGCAGAACTGCTGATGGGGCGTCGCCTTCGTAGCACCGTGCCCACGTTGGGGAGAGATCTACAACGGTCCATGGTGGACGATGATCACTATCGAGTTGTCTTGGAGAGGAAGAAGAAAAGAGCCAAGGCCAGCTACAATCGACGACACCGGGCAAGAGAACTTCGACCGTTAACCTCTGGAGAGCTTGTCTGGGTTCGCGACAAGCAGGCAAGCGGCATCTTCGTGCGTCGACGACAGGAACCACGATCGTACGATGTCCAGTGCGGCACCTTGAGGTGCAACAGGGCTTTTCTGCAGCCCATCCGAAATCGTCCCGACGAGGATGACCAGTGGGACGTCGTAGACTTCATGAAACCACGAGACCAGAAGACCACTGCTGAACCACCTGGACATGTCGAACCACAACCACCGGGCCATCATCAACAAGGTCCAGGTATTCGAGTGCAGGACCAACAAGACGAGCCAGAGGGGTTGGTCAGGAGGCCGGCTCGCATACGGCGCAGGCCAGAAAGATTAGAGGAAATACGCTAAGCATATTTTAAGTTGTTTATTTTGTTATCAAAATAGTTAGTTTGACAGTTCAGTTTTCTGCACAGAATTATATTCTTTTATTCTCATTAGATTTGAGCTAGGAACCTTATTCAGCTTGTTTTTGTTAAAGGAGGTCGATGTAGTGTATCAGTTTAATGAGAAGGTGTCAACATTGCATTTTATTATACCGCCGTGTGGCGCGATGTACGCGGAACTGAGATACACGAGCGGGAGAGATTAAGTAGTATTCGGGCAGCTTAACTGTGCGTACACAAGGACACAATAAAGATCACGCGACAGCGAGTATGATACAGGTACAGGTTAGGTGTGCACATGTGAGGCTATAGGATATTGTATATCAAGACTTTGAATAAATAGACTACCGAATATTACATAGTGTTTATCATCCCTTTAGGGATAAACGATCCAAGCAGGACAAGACACTACAGAAGGTCTTATTTGATCGTATCTCAACGTTACCC